AAACACCCCCTCCATTCCTTATCTGTAAAAACAATGACTTTGCATTAAGATAATGTAATATCTAAGCCACTATTACCAAGAAAAGTAGACTGCACATCACCACCTCTGTCAAATAAGCAGGTGAATGTTAGTTTCACAGTGTGCCATAATCTCTCTGTGTTTCTTCTTTTATGTCTGAGTTCATGAACTGCAAAAATTATGTTTGGGTTCATGAAATGTTAAAATTTTCTAAATAAAGTTTACAATTAATTTCTATTTTGTGCTATACACAGGTTTTGAAATATTACCAGTGGCATCAGTTATAATCTTTATTAACAATGTGTTTCTACATCTCAAAAACCTATTAAATTTTATACAAAACTAGGGCCCTCCCTGGTAGCGCAGAGGGTTAAAGCACTGAACTGAGAGGCTAGAGCCACTTCCGCATGAGTTCTAAAATATATAAAAATTCTTACTGTTTCAAGCTGAGGATTGGATTCTTAAAAACCAATAAATTACATTTATGTTAGGATAATCTATAGAATTAAATACATCTCATAAGAGATTATAAACAAAAAATACCAATATTAAGCATGTGTATGTGTGTGTATACATTAAAAGTACATTAAAAGTAATCAGGTTATCTTCAGACGTACATATTGCATTCCTAGTAAAACAAGGAATTGTGACTAGAATGAAAATTTTATGAAAATAAAAATTTTAAAAATAAGTATCTGAAATTAAAGAGATTTAGAAAAAATAAAATTAACTTCAATCATTTACAAATTAAAGGATTAATAATCATAACAGTGGGCCTCCCCAATAACAAAGGGTTCAGTCTCTGTACTATTAAGTTATGGCCAGACAGTGCAGCACGAGTTTTATTCCTGGCCAGTGAGCTAACCCACATGGTGCAGAACTCTTCTGTCTTGCTTCCTGCTCCTCTCAACAGTAGATTTCAGTAGATCTGCCTGTTCTGCCCCCCACTGTCTCTGGTGAATCCTCTTATTCCTGCACTTTTGGCCTATGGCCCAGTCCTTCTATGCATGAATAAAGAAATCTTTATGGCACTTTTTTTTTTTAAATAGTACACATGTGTACTTTTGAAACAAACAGACAAAAGATGAGACATGGAAATTATGATCTCTTAAAAGTCTAACAGAAAATGATAAACTCAAACTATAGTTTTATGTGTACTATGTACAGACATCAATGGTATTCAATGAAACATCCAACTCATCTATGTAGTTTCAAAAACCTAATGCAAACAATCAGTCAATAAACAATAGTTCTAAAAATTTAAGGGCTAAGGCTGACATGGAGAGAAGATACCAAACTGGTATTTGGCATATATGGAACCAAGATGGGATCTGATACTACAGAATTCTAGAGGAACATTCTGTAATGGAACCAAGATGGGATCTGATACCACAAGAATTCTAGAGGAACATTCTGTAATGGCTACTGTAAACAATTAGCCTCCTTGAAACATGACTGAATATGGATGATGTATTTTCAACTTCTAGGTTTTAAAGCATATGATCTGTAGCTTTTTGTGATGTTACACATACACAAAAAAAGCATACCATGTTGAACTTTCTTGTCACTCAGAAAATTGCCTTGGTTTAGTTCCAGAGTGGGAAGGGAATCCTTATAAACTATTTCAAAATTTTTGGATATCCTCTGTTCCTACTATATATCTGAAAGTCAGTATTTTAAAGTATTTTTTCATGCTTTCCATGAAAAATGCTTTCCCTCTTTCGCTAAAATCTATTACTTCAACATATCTTTTATGTTGAAGATGGTTTAAATAGGAGGGGTGATTATTTAAACATGTTATATAGGCAAGTGACAAAACTACAACAAGTTACAGAAGAGCCTTTTAGAAAGTCTAATTCAGAAACAGTAGTTCTAGAAGAACCATTGTTTTTAAAGTCACCATTTATTAACAGATGTTGTCTAGATTTAAAGGAATAAATAAAATGAAACCCATAGTTTTATATTAATGTACAATTAAGGTACTAATGTCATATAAGGGAATGTGTTTTGAAGTCCAATGTGGAAGAGAAGCTTAGCTTATTTTAGTGCTAAGTCAAGTAATTTTTACACTGCAGATTAATAGTATTTGTTGACTGAATAAACTGATGAATTATTATCTTTTACCCTATTCCCATTTTATCATATTGCAAGTATTCTTTTATCTTGTTTAGTATCTTACATCCCTTGTTTCTGCTTCCCTCACTCCACCATACACCCATTCTGGGAACTACAGAACAATCTGTAGGGAGTACGACACATTCCATTCTCTTAAGTATCTTCACTCTTTCTAAGAAACATGTTCTCTTAATAAATCCAAAGGTCACTATGAGTTAAAGATTTAGTTTAGTGTAAGCTCAAACCAGTGTTCTTCAATGAAAATTCTGAAGCACCTTATTTCTACCCTAAGATATTCTAGGTAAATACATTCCATGATCTTACTCCCTAATTCCTTAAAAAGTGAAGCAGCGTGACAAATTCCTTCTTAGAATCAAGTTTATGGTCCATTTGATGGTAATTTGTTATGGCACAAGAGTTCAGTACAAATTTTGTTGCCTTGAGAATAGGGTAGTCTTAATATTCCTACAGTGCAAGTAGAAAAACATGTATAATTCGATTACAATTTGAATTGTGACAAACGTAACACACTTCTGTTCAAGATACTTGTAATTCAGATACAACATTATGACCCAACACATGAAAAAAGGCATGAAAAATGATTTCCTTTAAATGTTCTTTAAGCTGTAACTATGTGCATTCTACTAATTTGCCCGTTACCTGGAACAAGTCCTGCTAAAGGCTGATTATCTTCATCACCTTCCCTGTAGGCTTGCCACCAATTTGGATCTTCTTGGCTGATTATATGAAGTATATCCCCTTTTTGAAAAGATAGACCTAACTCTCGACATGGAACATAAGGGTCATCTGAGGGGTCATAGTCAAAATGAGCCTTTACATGGATCTATAAGATAAACAGCAAAAAAAAAAACAAAACAGTAATAAAAATGAAGAAATGGCAACACATGATATTTATGAGTTGAAAGAAGAGTGATAGTATTTCAGGGTTTTATGTTCTGACTCATCTGTTTTCTCCAATTATATTCATTTTTTCTGTTGATTGCTAACATCTACAAAAGTATACAAACACTGTATTATTGTTTGCTAACAAGGTGATAAGAGGCCTTGAGAGAAGGAGAAGGAATGTAACAGAAACACCCCCTCCATTCCTTATCTGTAAAAACAATGACTTTGCATTAAGATAATGTAATATCTAAGCCACTATTACCAAGAAAAGTAGACTGCACATCACCACCTCTGTCAAATAAGCAGGTGAATGTTAGTTTCACAGTGTGCCATAATCTCTCTGTGTTTCTTCTTTTATGTCTGAGTTCATGAACTGCAAAAATTATGTTTGGGTTCATGAAATGTTAAAATTTTCTAAATAAAGTTTACAATTAATTTCTATTTTGTGCTATACACAGGTTTTGAAATATTACCAGTGGCATCAGTTATAATCTTTATTAACAATGTGTTTCTACATCTCAAAAACCTATTAAATTTTATACAAAACTAGGGCCCTCCCTGGTAGCGCAGAGGGTTAAAGCACTGAACTGAGAGGCTAGAGCCACTTCCGCATGAGTTCTAAAATATATAAAAATTCTTACTGTTTCAAGCTGAGGATTGGATTCTTAAAAACCAATAAATTACATTTATGTTAGGATAATCTATAGAATTAAATACATCTCATAAGAGATTATAAACAAAAAATACCAATATTAAGCATGTGTATGTGTGTGTATACATTAAAAGTACATTAAAAGTAATCAGGTTATCTTCAGACGTACATATTGCATTCCTAGTAAAACAAGGAATTGTGACTAGAATGAAAATTTTATGAAAATAAAAATTTTAAAAATAAGTATCTGAAATTAAAGAGATTTAGAAAAAATAAAATTAACTTCAATCATTTACAAATTAAAGGATTAATAATCATAACAGTGGGCCTCCCCAATAACAAAGGGTTCAGTCTCTGTACTATTAAGTTATGGCCAGACAGTGCAGCACGAGTTTTATTCCTGGCCAGTGAGCTAACCCACATGGTGCAGAACTCTTCTGTCTTGCTTCCTGCTCCTCTCAACAGTAGATTTCAGTAGATCTGCCTGTTCTGC